TCTACATCTCTTGGGATAGGGCATAGGTATCACCCTAGCTTCTTGTCTAGGCTCAGCTTTGCTAAAGCTGTTGGTTAAGGTGGTTCACCTCATTAAAGGAAAGTGCACTGCTGCCCTTGCACTTCTCAAGCTGACAGAAAGGTATCTATCATCTCTATGCTCTGAATCTGAATGATGAGAGGAAAGTGAGAACTCCTGACTCCTCTCCATGGGGTTAAGGAACAACCCTCCCATGATTTCCATGACTTCATAAGGACTGTTGGGCAAGAGAGTGTCCACTTTTTCTGATTGGTAACATATCCTCAAAATTCATGAGCCCAGTCTGCTCTGCTGTGTCATATGGTTCCCACCATCTTCTGAAAGGAAAAGATTTCCATTCCAGTGTTTAAACACTCCCATGTGAGCTCCTCTGCTGTGAAGTCATTCCTGTGCCTGTTTGGCATTAGAGAAGTTCTCTTGTGCTGGAGTACGAGCGCTTGACGCTCCTCTGGATTTGTTGTATGAATTGTTCTAAACGCCAAAGACACCATACATGTGATGTACATCTTTCTGAATTCCTTTAACGTTTTTCTCAATATTGAACAGCACAGCTCCAATGGCTGTTCATTGGACTATAAAACAAAGAGGTTTTAATATTTAGCAGATTATTCAAGCTTCTCACCAGCTGTGACATGAAAACCATCCTGGTGTAAATTAAAATCTACACTGGCAAAGATCTTTATTAGCTGGGACACATCAGTCTTAGCAGTAGTAGAGAATAGTGTGGTGAACTATGAATACCATGTGGCTTCATACTCCATTACTGGAATAATATCTGTACACAATGCACTGCTCCTCAAGGGTGTGACCAGGACTGGGAACACTGATTCCAAGGGACAGTCCTGCATGGGAAAGACAGAAACTTTCAAAATCTTGATGGGAGATCAATTCTGAACATGGAACACAGAAGTTATTGGGCTTTCTTTAAATACCAGGATGAGAAATAGTGGCTCTCTCCTGACACAAACTCCTTATAGCTTGCCATGATTTTCTGACCAAGACTGGCCAAGAGACACAGAGCTTCTGGGCCTTCTGAGAACATGTTTGTGACTGGAGTTTGGTCTCTCAGATCCCACTGTGCTCACTTTGTTGCTGGAGATTAAAGTCAGTTATCACAGTTTTCTGTAGGCACTTGGTTGTAACCTCAGCAGCCAAGTAACTTCTTATTAGCCTCCCAGGAGCAGCAAAGATCTCCACTCAATGCCTAGCCACACTATCACTCTGGCTCCAGATACATGAACAAATCAGGTTAAGTGTCTTGCTGCATGAGGTGGAATGCTGGCTCATGATGATAGTCAAGCCATTCAAAATGGTCCCAATAACCTGAACACCTTCAGCCCCTGGAATACAGTGTGTTGTTTCACATAAATGCAGAATGAACAAGATGTCTTTTTGTTCAAGAAGACTTTTTTGCTTGAACGTGGTCAAGAAAGCAGATCCTCTTCCACCAACCTCTGTAAATCTTACTAGCAATATGGAGAAGGCAGAAGCGGAGTGTCAGGCTTAGCAGTGAAGGGAAAGCAGAGATTCCTAAAAAAGATGTTGGTGTTACTGCTCTTACGTGCTGTCAGTCCTGAACCAGTGATCATTATTCTGTCTACTATTTACCTCAACCCTTCATGTAAACTCATGTTGCCACCATATGATCAATCTATCTCATCAAGGGTTGAAAGGATCATCACTTCAGATCACTAAGACACTTAGGCTTTCTGTTCCACAGAATCTAGATGGTGATCCATGTTTTCCCTCATACATGGTCCTGCTGTTTCTGGACTAGGCTGTAAACCTTTGTGAGGTACTAACCAGACTAGGCCCTTCTCCTCTAGCTTCTTTTTCCAAGACGCATGCCTGTGGACACAAGGATAGGGATGGCTGAGCACATGGAAGATTGGTAGCTTTTCCTAGCTACTGCAGGGTTTTAAACACATGGGGAGGGAAGATGTCACTCTAGAGTCACCAAAACTGGTAGAGGTTCTAAAGGACAGTGGGATGTTTGGTAATAATTTTAAAGTTCTTCAGTTGGCTGTGTTTCTTCAACCCATGCTGTCACAGATCTTCAGCCCCTTATTCAAGTATTTCTGTTATTCAAGTAGATGGATGATCATGAGGTCCTGAAGACATTTTGAAGCCAGTGTATGGTCCAATAAGTTCTTCTGGTCTTCAAGACAGAGATATGCCATTACCTTCCACAACAGTGCAGACACCGCTACAATGTGTGATGTGTAGGGTTGTTATCAGTCACACCAAGTCCAGATGGAGACCAGTTACCAGTGGTGTGCTTCAAGGTTTGATACTACAGCCAGTACCATTTAATTTCTTCAGTAAAGGCCTAGATAAGAGGACAGCATGCACCCTCAACAAGTTTGCTGACAATGCAAAACTGGGAGGAGTCGATGATACACCAGATGGTTGTGCTGCCATTCAGAGGAGCCTTGAAACACTGGAGAAATGGGCAGATAGGGACCTCATCAAGTTCAACAAGGGGTGTAAGGTCAAGTTTCTGGAAGGAATAACTGTGCATCAACTGCACTCTGGGGGCTGACAGGCTGGAAAACAGGTTGGCAGAAAAAGATGTTGGGGTCCTGCAGAGAAGCTGAACATGAGACAGCAATGCACCCTTTCAGCAAAGAAAGCCAACAGCATTGTGGGCTGCATTGAGAAGAGCACTGGCAGCAGGCCTAGCGATGTGATCTTCCTCCAAAACTCAGCACTGGTGATGCTGCATGCAGAGTCTCGCATCCAGTTCTGGACAACCGAGTACAAGAAAGATTTGGAGAAAGACTTCAGCAAGTCCAAGGAAGAGCCAAAAAAGATGATTAAGAAACCAGTGTATCTGCCACATGAGGTGAGGCTGAAGGAGCTGGACTGTTTAGCTGCAAGAAGAGAAAGCTCAGAGGGATCTTACTAACACATGCCAATCCCTAACAGAAGAAAGCAAAGAAAACAGAGCTAGATCCTTCTCAGTGATATCCACTGAAAGGACCAGAGACAGTGGAATAGAAATACAGACATAAATGAAAATATAGGAAATTCTGTGTGAAATAAAGAAAAAACTGTCTTATGGTGAGGGCACTGACATACTAGACAGAACAGCTGCCCTGAAAGGTTGTGGAATCTCCATCTTTGGAGGTACTCAAAACACGATGGAACAAATTCCTGAGCGGCCTGCTCTAGCTGACTCTGCTCTGAGCATAGGGGATGGACTAGGTGATCTCTAGAGCTGCCTTTTCACCTCAGCTATTCCATGATTTCTCTGTGTTTCTCAGCCAAGTGGAGCCTTGTATCCTGAGATTTCCAGCTTTTTCAGGCTGCACCTTTATAATTTGGAGTAGGGCATTCCAAGTTACTTCAAATTCACGCTCCAAGTCCGCTTCAAGCTACTTCAGTCCATACAAATGTAAGGATGTAAAGTTTCAGTTCCTACAGATCAACAGTGTGTCCTTTGGTTGGTCAAAACCTGCATTCTTGAGTTTCAAATCTTTTTGGCTTATTTGTCATTGATTCCAACAGATTAGGACTGGACAGAATGTCACTATGTTGACGTTATTTTAGCAGTCCTTGCTCTCTTATCCTCCTACAAACATAATGTTCCATGGAAAGAAGGAGGTAAAACTGGGCAAATTTTGTCTTTGATCTCGTATTTACCCTTTTTCTATTTCCATAATCTAGATGAACAACACAGGAAAAACAAGCTAATATAATGTTGCATTTCCATGCAGATGGTTACTCCTAGCAATGATGCTGGGTGAAAGAATGACATACGATAACAGGATTCCACTTGCACACTTAGAATTTGGAAGACATGGATGGTAGTGCCTTGGTTGTTTTCCTTCCTCCAGGAAATTCCTTGACGATCGCTGCCACGTGCTGCAATCTGGTCCCTTCATTAAGCCAAAGAATTTCTGCAAGGTGCCTCAGCAAACTTCACTGGCAGGATAAACTAAAGATGAGCTGGGCTCCAAGAGAAGATACACACCACCATCTTCTTATTAAGCTGATGGCAGGACTTTAATAAAAGGCCATCTGGGAGTCACCAAAAGCCAATTTCAGCACACATAGACCTGAAGTGTTTCAGCAATAGAAGCTACTAAAAAATATACAGTTCCTTACAAAAAATAAGTCACTAGAATTTCAAATTCATCTATCCAATATCTAATTTGAGTATCTGATACACAACATTTATAAACCCCCCAACAATGAGAAACACGGGATTAATCTCCATTAAATCTATGTGTATAAAGAAAACCACGTTTGAAAATGCTGGAAATTTGTTCTGCTGGAGAGAAGATATTGAACATCTGTCTATTTTCGAGAAAAGCAAAAGGGCTCCCTCTGGAGTGGATTCCAAAATCAACACAGGATTCGGATTGTAACAGGCAGGCAGAGAAAATGAAAATGTGTAACAAAGCAAATGCATTCTTGTCTCTTACTAGTTTACTTGTCCTGTTTACAATGAGCATACTGGGACTAATTCAAGGAGACTATATCATGACTGAATGACATGGATCCATGCCCAGAATACTATTAAGTCAATTAGTTTTCATGCATGGACTTGTATGTGGCAAAGAGGCAAATTAAAGGATTCCTGAAGAGACAAGAAAGCTTTTTTTAGCATGTAAAATACTCCAAAGAATCTCCAACAAGATAAATTATGCAGCCAGCTGAGAATCCACATTTTCAACCCTGGATGGTCATGCACAGTTCTATAAAAACTAATGAATACAGCCACCAGTTGTGTACCCATGGCAATAAACTTAATTTGAAAGGGAGACACGAGTAACTTTAAGGACATATACAAAAACATGCTCTACTGGAAACTGATGAAGGTTGCTTTCAAATTTACAAGTCAGAAAGACCCCACATTCCCATAGATTATTTGCATACAATGCAATTAACATAAAATTGGTTTCATGCAGAAAGAAAAAAAGAGTTAGGTCACCTATAAAGTGAAGTCAACTTACTGCCTGCTTTTGCTCTTCTTCCTATAAATGTTGGCAAAAGAAAAAGGTGAAGAGAGAAACAGGATAGATTAATTACCATATGAAAAGGAAACATATACACACAAAATACACAACAGACCCAATGGAAAAAGAGTACATGGCAAGTTGTAGAAACATCTGCAGACATGAAAGGGAACAAGGGCATTAGACACAACAGCTGTGGTGGGAAAGCAAAGATGTCATTTATTCCGTGCTCAAAAGAAGACTCTTATCTCAAATGGCCTTCAGTGTTGGCAAAAGTGGAATACACGGGATGGATATGACAGCATGAATAGCTTGGATATAGGACAGGCTGTCAAACAGATGTATTTCTTTTACACAGGACCTTTACTGCCTTCTCTTCCTACCCTGTACTCAGAACTACCTCTCTAGCTGTTCTCAAGGTCAAAAATATCAGTCCACCACCCTCTAACGCCTAGAAATACCATCTGGAGTGCATGGCATTTGGTTCCCTGTGTGCTCAAATCCGCCATCACGAAGACCCAAACTGTCCTAGCCTGAGAGGCACAATATCACCTTTTTGGTCAGAGAGTGCCTGTAAATCACTGGGCATATCACAACCTCTGCAGATGGGATTCACAATGGTGAATTAGCGACCTGGAGGCAGCCAGGTCTGGAATGGGAGGGAAGAAACTGGGCAGCAAAAGCACTAAAGACACAAGAAAAAAGATGCAGAGAAAACAATCCCATTGTTGCAATGCAACATTTGTCAGTATAGATTGCTACTAATTTGAAAGATGAAAAAAGGTGAAATATGAATGAATTTCTCCACTTCTGAAACAACATACACTGTGACCCTTCTGCGATACCGGAGTCACAGCCATTTCAACTATATGAACGTCCCTTGGAATGAGCAAAATATCACATAGTCAAGAGTTTCTCTCACAATTCAGAAGTTTTCCTAGATTTTCTCTTCATAGATATAACCACCATTACTAGCCCTTAGGGCTCATGTCTTGCAGGCTTGGTTGTATGGAGAAGCATGGCTGTTATGGTGCGGGCAGCAGCACTGTGGATTAAAAGAAAGGCTGGCAGCATGATTTTGATGACTCTCATCTATGCAGAAATAGCAGTTACAGCTTTTTCAGGGTAACAAGAGTTGTTCCCTCTGACAGTGGCTTTGCACAGACTAACAGTGCAGGGGCAGCAGGATCACTGGTAAGGATGTCTCCTCAGAAATTCAGGATATGGCATGAAAAATCTGACAGAATAAAAGCTCCTTCTGGCCTTGGCATCCATGAACTGACTTATCCACCTTTCCTCATTTATTTCCTGTCTGAGCGGGATAACCAAAACCTGCCCCTTAATTTAGAGCAGCTTCTTCTCTCCATTGTACTAAAATATGTTTTCCCAACTGTGCACTGTGGGATATAAAGGTATCTGGGATCAACTGCAGAGAATTCCACATTTCTGAGCAGATGCTTTTGTTTTTTTTTCTTCTTTTTTTCCCCAAATCTGGAGTTCTCTCAGGTGTGTATTTAGACTCTGCTGTAGCAGATGTGTGGTATGGCTTCACTCAAGCATGGATCAGCATCAACACTGAAGGCCAGTGCTGTCCTCCCCACACTCCCACATGTTTCCAGTTGTTCCTCCTATCAGCACTGGGACTAGCAGGACCAGATGGTGAGCTAGGTCAGCAAAAAGATCTTAAATGATCTCCATTCTAAAAAAAGTTGTTAGCTTGAAAAATGAGGCTCTAGCATTAACTACAGATGTGAAAAAATATACCGCAAGAGGCATGAACCTTTGCTAGACGAACTAAGGAGTTATTAGATAAATCATCAAATCAGCTAGTGAGGAAATTACCATTGAGGAAATGGAAAAGGTGAAACGGGATACGCCTGCTGAATATCTGTGTAGCTGAAAGCAAAAGCCCTGCAAGGCAGACACTCACCACTGCAGACTACTCATTAGAAGAGTGCCAGCTAATGGCACTAGGTGATTACAGAAGACTTCAGGAAAAAAGGGAAAACTAAGCCAACAGACAGGATGAGGAAAAGGAGATAAAAAATACTGGGAGAAAATTGCTGATGACAGTACTGACAGGTACTGTTCGTCCCAGATGGACAGAATGCCTCTTGCATGCAAAGGGCTATCTGCTTAACCAAAGGCTGGCTGGAGTGGCTAGAGGACACGAGGTTGGCAGTCAATGGGCAGCCCTGCAGGAGCCACTGCACCAGCCCTGCAGATTCAGAGGCTATAGTATTAAACTAAAACCTAAAACATGTCTGTGCTGTTAAAACACCTTCTTACCCAACCAAGGTGGCCTTATCCAAACTGACCCCCAGGAAAGGCTCTGGGCATGTCACTACCCCTGGGTGGTGGTTGCAGGTTTGGGAAAGCGCTGGTAGCTCTGATCCAAGGGCACACCAGTGACCACACCAGCAACAGAACAGGTAGGTGAGGGCCTCTCCAAGGAATGATGTCTGGCATTAATGATCTCACCCAGATAGATATAGCCAGGGTCTCATAAGTGCACAGGAACACACAGCAGAAGATACCAATGACAGCAGTTAATGGTGAACAACCAGAACTTACAAAATACAGGTTAGGTGGAGACTGGATTGACAGCAGCCCTGAAGAGAAGGACTTGGGGGGGGGTTGATGAGAAACTCAACATGACCCAGCAGTGTGTGCTTGAGCCCAGAAACCAACTGTGTCCTGGGCTGCATCACCAGCAGTGTGACCAGAAAGTTGAGGGAGAGGATCCTCCCCCTCTGCTCTGCTCTGGGGAGACCCCTGCATCCAGCTCTGAGACAACAACACAAGATGGACATGGAGCTGTTGGAGCGAGTCCAGAGAAGGCCACAAAGATTCTCCAAGGGCTGGAGCACCTCTGCTATGGAGACAGGCTGAGAGAGCTGGGCTTGTTCAGCCTGGGGAAGAGAAGGCTCCAGGGAGACCTTAGAGCAGCTTCCAGTGCTTTAAGGGGCTGACAAGAAAGCTGGAGAGGGGCTTTTGACAAGGGCCTGTAGGGACAGGGCAAGGGGGAATGGCTTTAACCTGACAGAGGGGAGACTGAGATGAGCTCTTAGGAAGTGGATCCCTGTGATGGTGGTGAGGCCCTGGCACAGGTTGCCCAGAGAAGCTGTGGCTGCCCCATCCCTGGCAGTGTTCAAGGCCAGGTTGGATGGGGCTCTGAACAGCCCTGGGGCACTAGCAACCAGAACAGCCAAGGGCCTTTCTCTGCTCTAAGGCCAGCTATCACAGCATGACTTGCTGTGTGAAAAATGGATGGACCTCTAGAGAACAACCGTGTCCTTCCAACACAGGAAGAGGGAGCTGAGTTACCAAAATTTCAGATAACCAAAGTTAGGCAGTATGAATCCAGCTCTAAATGGTGAAATGAAGACAGCATTAAAAATATAAAAAATAAGAAAATGGAAAAAACCATAAAAGCTGAGCAGCTGATGTAAATCATAAATAAAAATTTTTCAAGTGCACCACATGATGAGAGAAGCTAAAACCTTGTGAGAAAAAAATAATCTCTGGCAGGGCTAAAACCACCAAAAAGGAGAATTTGAAATCAATACAAATATCAGAAACAAAACAAAGCCCAAGAGGGTGCATACTGCTTCTTGTCAGTCAGGGTAAACTTCTCAATATGGGAAGAAGCATCAGTATTTCTGGTTTGTATTTGACTAATAGTACTTTCCCCTTGTAGTTTCTATCAGCAAACAGTGAAGTACTTTCCACTAATAATGAGAAAAGGTGTTCAAAAGTATCTGCTAGAAATCCTGTTTTTAGATCAGCAGGCCTGGGGAGTATGGGGCTGGGATTCTTCAAGTAATTACAAGTTCGTAGTCCAGAGAAGGTAATTTTTAATACATCTTGGAATACCCAGGGCTGGAATGTGCTTTGTTGCACTGATAGTCAAAATGAGATTTAAAACAACTTACTTAAATAAGCACAAAGATCTTACCCTATCATTGATTTATTCAATGTACTCAACAAATAAGGAATATATGAAGCATTAAAACTTCACAGAAAGGAGGTCTTGCCAAATAAATCTGGTTTTGCTATTCGAATGTCTTACAAGTTTGGCTTCTGAAGGACCTGTACAGATGCATATATTTTCATAGGAGAGGATTTACCCATTATATTCTCATTAGCCAGTTACCACTATATGACATAAATAAAGCACTTTGCAGTGATTTATTTACAGATCTTTTGCAGCTCTTACAGAGTAGGATCTGGACAACGGGCAGCTTTCAAAAAGCACTCACTGGTGCGGAAAGACACAAGAAGGAGAACAGTGATGGAGAGCAGTGAAACTCCTCGTGGAGCTCTCTGTGTGGTGTTGCTAAGGTTCAGAGGAGAATTCAACATAGAGTTTGTTTTTCCCAAATTTAAAAATGGTATTAAGGATCTGGAGAAGGCAAAGAAATCAACCATAAAAAAAGACTGGAGTACAGTATTTGGAGAAGCTCAGCAGAGTTCTATCTGTTTAACTGATTTAAAAATCAAGACGAGGAGGGCCTTTACTGAGTTGAATAATATCTGCATATTAAAAACCAGGGGTGCTGAAGTACTCCTTAATTTAATAGAGGGAGAACCACACGTACCAAAGCCAATGGGTATAAACTGAAGTTAAATACATTAAAACTGGAAATGAGGCATAAATATTAACTGTGCAAGAAAATTTGCAATGGCAGTGAATTTTCAATAGTTTTTTTTTATTTCTCCAGTTCGAGAGCAGATGTCTTTCTGGAAGAGGCTTTAATCAAAAAGAAGCTGCCAGGCTCCATAGAAAGCTCTTCAGAGGAAATGCAGAGTCATATTATGCAACATGTAGAACCAAATAATTACAACAGTCATAGGCTCAGTGGATAATTCAGGTTTTAAGGGACTTCAGGAGGTCTCTAGTTCAGCCTCCTACTCAGAACAGGGTCAACTTAATCTCAGAGCAGGTTGCTTAGAGCTCTGTCCACTCTTGAGAAAACTCCAAGGATGGAGATAGCACAGCCTCCATCCCCACTCCACCATCTTCATGGGAAGAAGTTTTTCCTTCTATCCAGTCCTATTTGTCCTTACAGTGTTTAAACAATTTTGGGAACTGGGGGAGTTAATAAAAAAGATACTAGGATTTGGAAGGAAAAGCCTAGTAATAGCCAGCTTCTAAAATAACCTTTAGTACAACACAGCCTAGAAGATGTCACTGAAGTCTCTGTAAGCTCATAATTGAACTGCGTGACTCAGCTTAATGAACAGGTCCTAAAAATATTGGTTTATCAAATGTGAGTCAGTTATGATTCCCATCCCTCTTGTGCAATCCTCTGTCCTCCCTCCTGTGTCTCCTCAGTTGCAATACCTACCACTCATGATTTTTACCCCCGCAATATCCTGCAGTATTGTCCTTGCTCTCCTCATTAGTATTACTGACACCAGTGTCCTCTGCTGCTCCACAGAAGGCCATGTTCACATGTCCAACCAGTCAGGTGAGAGGAAACACACACTGTTTGGGCAGTTAGGAGATAAGAGTAGGATGGCCAAGCAGGCAGAAAAGGCAAGGTGCCTGCCTGCCTGCTGTGGCTTGTCTAGCATATGGGCAAAGCTCTGCAGGTTGCTCTTTAGCCTGTGCATTGTACAGGTTCAGAGCAGTATATCTGAGAAAGCTAGTCCACCCGGCCTTCCAGGCTTCTGAGGTGGAAGAGCAGAAAGTTAGGAAAGCTGACAGAACACTGCTCACTCTAATGAGATGAGAGCATGGACATCAGGTTGTGCTGGGGAGAATTGGTTTGGGAAGGCTTGAAAGTGCTTTGAGAATCATAGGACCTACAGAAAATTTGCATTAGAGTTTGTTCTCATGTTAGACATCCAAACAGATTTCATTATAAAGAGGCAAATGCTCAGACTATGGTCACCTGAACCACAAAGAGTCAAACTGTTTCTGATGGAACAACATTTATGCTTTCCTAAATCTGTAATTCAGTTTTGGACGCCCATTTTCAGAGGTATCACACTTCAACTTACAGAGGTTTAGGGTCTGAAGAAATCACAGTGAATTTAGTGATTGTCTTCAATATTTTGTCTTCAATATTTAAGACAGACATTAATAGGCTGAACAGGAAACAAACACAGCATGTAGAAGCACTGATTTAAAAAAATAATTACTTCCCAAATATTAATACTAACTATGCGCTCAGATGAACAGGGAAACTAAATAAAACAGCCACCTCTGAAGAGTATTTGATAATAGCCTCTTTTATACACATTCCTATTCCAGAACACAGGCCTAATCTGAAGAGTGACTGCACTTTAGATTGACAGATGACGTGAATTCATTATCACTTTAAAGTGCAGACAAGCTCTAAATGTTAACTATCAGGATGTGTCTACAGCTAATCCATAAACCCATGTGCTGCTCCTGCCAGTGCCATTGCTGCGATTCCTCGCCCACCTCTCCCATTTCCTGTCGCATCTTTGTGGCATCTTGTTTTAGACCAAAACCACTTTGAGTAAGGACAATGTTTTGCCATTCGCTTAATAGGGGCTCTTCTGCAATTTAAAGTAGGGAAAGAATAAACACAATAGTATTTCAGACAGCAGTCGTCAACTGTGAGCTCAACTCTAGCAGGACTTGACAAATTATAAACGATGTACACTCATCAGAAATCCAAACAACATATATTATATATCAGAGTCAATACCACCATACTCTAAAGCAAAAAACCTCCACAGACGTTGCAGGGTTTATGTGATATTACCAGGTGCAACACCATGCCACTGGGAAGGTGCATCCTGTATTGCCACAACTACAGCTTCCAGTCTGTTTTCCGGTTAAAGGTGAAAGAACTGGATTGGTACCCAGAACAGCATGCAGCTAATTATGACATCTAATACTTCTTTAAAGCCTTCCAAATCTTACAGGTTCTTGATATTTTAACTAAAGCAGCAGCATATGAACCTGAAAACCCATTAACCATCTGCACCAACACACAGAGCCAGCATGGAAATGACTTTCTGCAAATTCCTTCTATTCCTCATGAAGTATTTATGATGATACAACAGCAAAGTAGGAATCTCACAGCAGCAACAGTGAATTCCAGGCCTGTGGAAATGAAGGATGCACTGTATTTCTGACAGGAGGTGGCTTACTTTGAGCAGTTTCATCAGCCCTTCAAGCTGCACCATCAGTTCTCTTCTGCTTTCTTGAAGAGCAGACATTCTCTGTTCCAGTTCATCCTTTCTCTGTCTGTTCAAGTTACATGAAAGAAAGAGTCAGAAAATAAATGTTGGGTATTTCAAAACCACTTTAGGAAATTCCCCCATCCAACCGTGTCTTTGGTTTTCATCACTCCCCCCTGCTTCCAATTGAAAAAATGGAGCAAAGCACAGTACAATGACCATGAAACCTATGTGTAACTATCAGGCTGTTCACTTAAAATCCAGGAACCTGCCCTCAGCACCTTGGTAGCAGGCAGCCCTTTTCAAAAGCACTGCATTTTGAGAAAAAGAGCCCACTTTACTCTTCCTTTTAAGAGCTCTCTTAACGTCAGCTCCAGGCACCCTGCAGAGCTTTCAGACAAGCAAGAATGAATGATGGGAGGAAAGACTGGGAAAAAAAAGGAGGAGAAAGGGCTGCAGGTGTTTGGGAAGGAAAAGTTATCACTTGTCTGGATGGAGACTAAGCAGAGCTATTTCTGTCCGTGAACATGACATACTGTCTTTGACATATTTGCTGTACCGGAACCCAGGTAACAACAAAAAGAGGTAATAAGTGACCTTCCCTTTCCTTGACATCACAAAACCACTGCATTCCTACTGATGCGCGTCTGTGAGATATTTAAGGCAATATCACTGGTTTTATTTTACATTTAAAAACAAAGAAGGGACTAATATAAAGAGAAACTCAAAGACGAACATCAGCACACCAGCAGTTCAGTGTCTTACATGATGTAAGAAATGCTGGTCCCCACAAATCCCAGTCATAGTAATCATAAATGATTGTAAGAAAAACAAAAATAGTAGAAAGGCTTATTTATTTATCTACAGTTATTTTTGTGGACATTTGAATGTCCTAATCCAAAGTTAAAGGCACCACATATTATAGACTGCATTTTTAGGTGTCTTGGGTTATATCTTTGATCTCATGCGATATACTATGGATAAATCATTTGGGGAATTTTAATAACCAACTAGTTGCAGATACAACAACTGGAAAAGAATATGGAAAAGAAACAGGCCATTTACTCAGACTGAAAAAGTCTTGCTGTCTTTTTGTACACCATAAGTGTACACCCCAACCACAAAACTGCTAAGACTACATAACAGAATTAACTTGTTTCTATACTGGTTCTTAAAAGGACAGAGACTGTGGAGTACCAACAATCCTGGGTATTTCTTTCCATACCATTTGGTATTTTGAAGAATGCGGTTATCAAATGCTGAAATATATCACAAAAATAAAGTGATAGAAGATTACACGTGCCTGGTCACTTAGAATGTGTTAAAAACCCATCACAGACATAGCTTTATCCATCTATATCATCCTTTTTCTCTCTCTATGTCAGTTCAAAGTCTGTAGATTTTATTCTATAGTTATTTCATAGAACCATAAAATCATAGAATGGTTTGGGTTGGAAGGGACCTTAAGGCTCACTGAGATCCAACGCCCTGTCACAGGAAGGGACACCTTCCACTAAACCAGGTTGTTCCAACCCCTGTCCGATCCGGCCTTGAAAATTAGCATGAATATTATTTAACATAACATTCTGGTTAACAACTACAAATAATGCAAAAATCAGTATATTAAAAGCTAATGGAGAATCAACATTAACATGTATGTCTGATCTTGGTTGATGTTATTCAATCTCTTGTTCAATGACCTCCACTGAAGAAAGAGGAGGTACTGCTTGTCGATGACAGAAGGTGTTAAATGTGAGAAGAGATTCAGAGCAGCCCTGCAGAGAAAGACTTGAGGGTGTTGGCTGATGAGAAAATAAACATGAGCCAGATTCAGTGTGCACTCGCAGCCCAGAAGGCCAACTGTATCCTGGGCTGCATCGAAAGGAGCATGACCAGCAGGTAGAAGGAGGTGATCCTGCCCCTCTGCTCTCACGAGACCTCACTTGGAGTATTGTGTGCAGTTCTGGTGTCCTCAACATAAAAAGGACATGGAACTGTTGGAACAAGTCCAGAGGAGGACCATGAGGATGATCAGGGGACTGGAGCACCTCCTGTATGAAGATAGGCTGAGAAAGTTGGGGCTGTTCAACCTGGAGAAGGCTGCGTGGAGACCTCCTAGCAGCCTTCCAGTATCTGAAGTGGGGCTACAAGGATGCTGGGGAGGGACTCTTCATTAGGGACTGTAGTGATAGGACAAGGGGTAATGGGTTAAAACTTAAACAGGGGAAATTAGATTGGATATAAGGAAGAAGTTCTTTACTGTGAGGGTGGTGAGGCACTGGAATGGGTTGCCCAGGGAAGTTGTGAATGCTCCATCCCCGGCGGTGCTCAAGGCCAGGTTTGACAGAGCCTTGGGTGACATGGCTTAATGTGAGGTGTCCCTGCCCATGGCAGAGGGGTTGGAACTTGATGATCTTAAGGTCCTTTCCAACCCTAACTGTTCTACGATTCTATGATGCTATGATTCTACGCTTAAAAGACCAGAAAAGATAGGACAGCATCTAGGCACAAATGGCGAGATGCAGTCTGAGGCAGATGCCTGGGGCACAGGAACTAGTGCGTGAATGAGTATCCTCCTTGCAGCAGAGGCAGCCAAGCACATCTGCATTACAAGGCAGGGATCTATAAGGACAGTGGGTACAGCTGCACTTTCACCAAGGTTACATTTGGCAGCAGTGTGGCAGAGCTGACTCATCTCCTTGGGCTGTGTTTGCACATTTTTAAACCTGGGACACGTTGATTTTCCATGGATTACCTTTCTCACTTTTCAAATCCTAAATTCTACGCAGCAGCTGAGATTGTCTGGAAATGTGCTTACATACAATCAAAGGCAAAGTCATCACATGCTGCTCACAGGCTTGGGGAAAGTCTCCTTGGTAGCTGTGACCTTGTGAAGTACTTTCATATCACAGATAACTTGCTAATTGTGATCATCCACTGTGATGCTACACAGTCAAGACAATTCAGGTGCACTTTGAATTTATGAATGTGATGTTTGGTGGTAAGAAAGCTAACACTAGTTCAATTTAAAGCACCAGGGTACTTCAGCCTGTACACAGAAGAGATGCAGAGAACTTGACAGCAAGCTAAAGGGATAGCTGGAGGTTTGGCAAACCTGCTTTATGGAGATACTGAAGAAGTTCAAGCTATTTATGGACGATGAAGTTAAGAATCAAAATCTCTAAACACTCACACACAAATGAGGAATTTTGAAAAAGACCTTTTTAGCTCAGTAGACAAAGCATGGGGAAAGACAAGGTCTGGAGAACAGCACTAGGCTTATGAAGGTTAGAAATGATGTGCACGATTTCAGTCCTCTGAGCACAGACAAAGCACAGAAGTTCACTGATGATCACATCAGCAGTGTCAGGGGACATGGTATTCTTTCAACCTCTAAAATGAAAGCTTGAACATCTGTCTTACGTGGCTGTTGTAGCTCAGTTTAAAAGGGTTCTGCGGGCAAGGAGAAATTTCCCAGCCTGTGTTACACAGGAGGCCAGACTGGACAAGCATGATGAATTAACGGGCTTTACATGCTTAATTCAACCTTTTTTACTTTTTCCACAACATTCAGCTTTTTTTGCTTTTTTTCTTTAGCAAAATACAAACCATCTCATCCCTCCTGGTTAGCTCCGTTTTGTCCCCAATAACCTGTATTTTTTGAGCAATATCTAGGGACTGAAAACTCTATCACTGCTCTTAAGATTACCCCCTTGCTTTAAAAAGCATGTGCTGTATTTGTGGTCTGAATGAGGCTGGTTTCCAGTTTAAGCTCTTGGTTCTTATATCTTTGTCTGCTGGCTCAAACAGCACATCAAGTTGTCCCACAGCCTCTTTTTTCTCCACCACTTTCATAACATTTGTGGGCATCTTCTGCATCCTCTGTGGTTTTTCTAAATGTTAAAAAAAATATATACATAGCCATATAAAGCGTAAAGCAAGAAAATTTATAAGCCATTAGGCAACAGAATGAAAAATATCAGTGAGATATCAAAATGCGCTATAATGTATCAAATTCTGTATGAAAAAAGGAATGAAAGAGGCCGAAAGCCTCAGATTTTGCAATATGGGGCTGGATGACACCTTGCAGATGCTGCCTGCCATTGCGGTAGCTCCATCCCAAGAGCACTGCACTTTTACAGGAAACCTTTAATTGTCCTTGGGAAGACAACAGCCGTGCCACATCCAAAGCACGCAGCGAAAGTTTACCCTAAGGAATGAAACACAAGGCAGTTTGCAAAGAGCTGCTGCTGCCAAGAGCTTGAATTTTAGAACCTACTTCAGATTACAGATGGCAATTTTGAAAGTTGTGCTCTGAATTAACTGGTAATAGAAGATGAAATAAAATATAGCCACAGAATGCCCCTGTGACTACCCGAACTATGAAACACTTTATAATACTGACAATATCTCCCTGTCACTTCAAAATGCCAATTTAATCATAGATGCTTTGAAGATTGTTCTCCAACTTTGGATGTACATCTGACTATCTGTAGGGACGAACTTTTGGAGTTTCACTGTCTAATCAAATAACTGACATTTCTCTTCAGCTCTATTCCTTTAGACAATAAATGACAAGCAGTTAATGCAATTTATGTTATTTTTTTTCTATTGGTTTCTTCTTTACAAACAGTTTTCTGAACCCTACAAATAGAATTCATTTGAAGCAACATTTTTAGAATCCTAGCATCCCAGAATCCCAGGTTGGATCAAGGATTATTTGGTCCAGACTTTTCTTGCAAAGCAACTTTCTTGGCAAAGCAATTCTTATTTACTTCTAAATCCACTTGACAAAAAGGCAAATTGCAATACGTTGCAAGTCTTTGGCATTCAGCATTTTAAGTAACACACTAAGGCTGCTGAAGATACGCTTTTCCCTGTAACAGCATCGTGTTCACAGAGCAGACACACAGGCTTACTGGCCCAGGTACCGAACGCATATGAGCTTTAGGTATTTCTTTTACCGTAGAAGCCTGAGTTCAGCCAATAATGTTGGATTCTGCTGAGCTTTTTCAGGGGTGGGTTGAGAGGCTTGTTCATGTTCCAGCCTGAGACGCTGAATTTCTTGGAGTATCTCTCTATAGAAATGCCAGAGGGAAGATTAGAGAAAATAAAGGTCAGTCTCTACACCACTCTTAAACACTGTTACAGCCCTTCAAGCACCCTGTCTGTCAGTCTGCAGCCTGAGGACAGCAAACTTGTTCACATATGACTGGCAGAGATTCAAAACAGTAAGTTAGGGCAGTCCTATGAATTTCTGTAATACACATAGGAGATTACTTAATAAGAAATATGAAATCACTTGTGCCATGCACTGGCAATGTATCTCCAAAACCTTTTTATGCAGAACAGGCCCAGAGAGTGTTCTAAGAGGAAAAAAGTTCCATTTTCAGCACAGTCTGCATTGCACGGGCTGTAGGAAGTGCTTTGAAGCAGCACCACAAGCATTCGCAGCCATGCCAGCACGAGTTAGCTTCCCACTCATCTCTCCAAGGGCCCCTGGCAGGTCATCAGGAATAAGGAAAATAACAGCTCATAGTAACAGAGGCAAACTCACGAGGTCCCACAAAGCGAAGGCGATCACCCAGCAGCCCAATTAAGGCCACTGTGTTCTGTGTAGCTGGAGGCAAGGGAACTGACGGCCAAGGACTCGCTTATTAAAATGGAAATTAAATACTTCTGAGAGTGAAGATTATAATCTCTAACTCTCCCACCCTGCTCTCGAAAACTGCTGAGCTGCTCTCCTTGCAAGGCTTCATACCAGCACTGATTGAGATCTCCCTTATCTGTGATCTTGATGAATAATTTCAAATACCCGCAGGGTCTCTCGGTAGAATATTGAAGCTGCAATGGTGCAAGGATTGAGCTGTTCCTGTGCTCTCCAGGAACTGGTTCTCCTCCAAACTAACCCCAAGAAGCGTTTTTACCTGGTGTTGTGAGGGTGCATTGGCAAGCGACCGTGCAGGCAGCAAGCTCACGCATGCCAGCTAGGTGTAGCTGGAGCAGAGGGAGACCCAAGCAAGGCTATGAAGACAGCACATCACCAGGCACCCAGACAGGCTCTGTGGGTAACCGAGGTGCTGCCTATGCTGAACAGCACATGGGGTTTATAACTGCTCAACTGCATGCTCTTTAGAGCTGCACCCTTTTAACCAGAAAAACATGGCCACAAAATGAAGGTGCTGAAAGAGCAGGGAAGTGCAAATTAAGCATTATGTTAAAAAAAGAGCATCCCTCTGGAGCAAGAAGAATCACAGAATGGTTTGGGCTGGAAGGGACCTTAAAGCTCATTCAGTTCCAACCCCCCTCCCATGGGTAGGGACACCTTCCACCAGATCAGGCTGTTCAAATCCCCCTCCAACCTGGCCTTGAACATGGTCAGGGATGGGGCAGTCACAACTTCTCTGGGCAACCTGTGCCAGGGCCTCACCACCCTCAAAGGGAACAACTTCTGCCTAAGATCTCATCTCAATCTCCCCTCTGTCAGGTTAAAGCCATTCCCCCTTGTCCTGTCCCTACAGGCCCTTGTCAAAAGCCCCTCTCCAGCTTTTTTGTAGCCCGTTTAGGCACTCGAAGCTGCTCTAAGGTCTCCCTGGGGCCTCCTCTTCTCCAGGCTGAACAAGCCCAGCTCTCTTGGTCTGTCTCCATAGCAGAGGTGCTCAGCTCCATGAAGTCACTCCAACAGCTCCACATCCTCCTTATGTTGGGAGCCCTAGAGCTGGATTCAAGGAGGGGGGTCTCACAAGAGTGGAGTAGGGGGGAGAATCCCCTCACTCAACCTGCTGGTGATGCAGCCCAGGACATGGTTGGGTTTCTGGGCTGCACAGTTCCAGGTCATGTCCAGAAGAAGGAAACCATCTCCTAAGCCCATCTCTTTCTTCCAGGCCTCTCAGCTTATTCAGACTATCCTCATTCTTCTCAAGCTGAATTTACCCACCCCAGCTTTCCAACCTGCTCGCTCCACTACATTGCAGCTGATTTATCCCCCTGCTGCCACCTGAATGGTTTGCCCTGCTGTGAGATGTCTGCTGGGTTTGCAGATAGCAATTCAAGATTGTAGTGCAGCTCCTGATGCTCAGTTAAGATGATTTTAAGACCAGTGAAGACCAACCTGCTCCCTAGGGAATAAGGGCACTGCAGCTGCATCCGCACTGAGCTAATTTGTTAATGAGGCAGCTACACCTTTCAACAAAAGTTCTAGGAAAACAATCTGGTTAATATAATACAAAAGGTTTAAACCAACAAAGCACAAGGACTGAAGGCTCTTCTCGCCTCAACTGTTGTTCCTAAAACAGTGCTGATCAAAGCTTGCTTCTTACCTGTTTTTGTTTTCCAGCTCTGCTATCAGCTGTCTTTGCTGTTTATTTGCATCAAAGCTGAACCCCAGGTCTGCTGGAGGGCGAGGCTGGTGGATGAGGAACAGAGAAAAATTAGACAGAATATTCATTACCTGTTAACCCCATACGACACAGTTTGGATCTCGCCCCGTTGTTCCTTGATGCTGTGGTACCATACCTCAGCCCAGGCTGCAAAGCTGTGAGAGCAGCTGTACTGAAATGGACTAGGAGAACACATTGGTATGTGGTTTATGGATGATTTGATGTGATCTCAGGGCGGGAGGCTGCTGAAGGGTGACCTGGCTCATCACCCTAGGGCTGAAGAACTTTGTTTCTTTTTAAAAGACCTTAAAAAAAATAATCTAAACCCAAAACACCATAACCATCTGCTCCCAAAGCACCGACAGGCTTCTCTGGGAAAAGATGCAGTTATGCCTTTTGTCATAAAGTCTTCTAGCAAAGCACTGACCTTCCCCTATGTCAGCTAGTGAAGGCCATGGTGCCTCTGCCTCTCACAATGTACTTGAGAAATGGGGTGTTTTCTGACACAACAGAGCCCTTGTGCTCTGCATTGACCTTTTTGTTTTCATCTCTTGAGATTCAAAGATTGCACGTATTTTACAACTTTATCGGACCTCAGATTGGGATCTTGTTTTTAGAAGACACTTTCACAACCATTTTTAGACACTATTTGGGTAGTAAAACAAGTCGGATGAAGAGCTCGGTATCCACCAGTGCTCCTGCAGACAGGGTGGTAAGTGACAGCTTCAGGCCAAAGTGGACAGACACTACCAGGGTTTCAGATTTGTTTTGCTGCGGGTGTCTAGAGAGAGCCTTGATGGGCTTTAAGTGCAGACAGTACTTTTCTTCGGGCAAAACCTCCATGGTGGGTGGGTTTGCATGTGGTGAATGAGCCTTGCTTGACTCACACACCTACAAGCTGATTTTCTGTGTCCTCCTAGGTGATGTGACAGCAATTCATGAGTCTGCTGCTGACGTGGAAATTTCCCATGTAAAAACTGCTTGGTGAGGCAGGTCCCAGGCAAGAAGAAATAAAACAGCTGGGGGACTTCAAATGAACAGTGTGACAAATAAAAAGAAATCAACATAGAAACTCATCATCTCCTCTTGATCTCTGGAATAGGTACACAGTGCAGGCAGCAGCATGGCCACCACGCTTTCCATCTTGGGGTAACCTGAACAGTCTTGATGTAGGTAGCACCAGTATGACCTACTGGTTCCTCCAAAACAGTGTTGTGTCACAAAGCTGAGGTCCCATGGCCTCTTCCTGCATCCTGGTACAATCAGATACAAGGAAAAGTGCAGGTGACGTGTTTCACCTGCAGTCTCAGGAGCTTCTGGAGGCCCTGGGGCTCTTGGGGATCCATCTGAAGCACATGAACCTTTGTTCTGCTGCAAAGTAGGGCTGTGCCTATAAAAACACATTCTTCTCCTTAATCCCTTTCTTCAGAAATCCTGTCCAAAGCCTGAAATCACCCTCATGACCTAAAGTACTTGAGTCCTCAGGAGCAAACACAACACTGCAGAGAACTCAGAGGAGAGACATTCCTCATGCTGCTCGTGTTCAAACATTGCTACTCAAGAGGTCTTTTGAAAACTGCACGGTGGCTATTTTGTATGACAAATATTTGTTCAATTGCTTGAAGAGTCCATTCAAGTTTTCACCATAACTCAGCACCACTGAGTCATCGGGGTTAGAAAGGACATTTTGAAATGATCTAATCCAAAATCCCTCCTCAAAGCAATGTCAACTACAGCAGGTTGCTCATGATGTTGTCCAGCTGAGTTCTGAATAACTCCAAGGATGAAGGCTCCACAACCTGCTGGGGTGACCTGTTTCAGTGTTTGAGCACTTGCACCATAAGAAAGATTTTCTGTTTTTAAATGGCAGCGAGCTAGTGGCTGTTGCCTCTTGCTCTGTCACAGCACCACTGAAGGGACTCTCTCTGCCTCCACTGTATTACTTGCAACCACTGTATATTAATGCACACCCCCCTCCCCCCCCAGGTCTTCTCAAGGCTAGACAGCCCAGAGAAAAAAAATCAAGCTCCTGATTCTCCACCAACACCTGTACCCTCCAGCTTCTTAAACTGAACAGGCACCTGATGTTCAGACTGATAGTTTGTGCAGGGGATGCGTATGCTGATGGAATAAAGAGCGTCAGGCAGAGGCACTGGAATTTGATAGCCCATATTGCTAGATGTTTAATAGGGCCCTTGCCTTATTTTTAGCCCAGACTAACCAGCTCTCTCAAGCAATTCTCAGCATGGGATTTACTGTAAGCAAAGAACTATATGCAGCAGGTGGTTTGTATGCAGCTGGAAAGTGAAAGTGCTCAGTATGATAGATGTAGGCATCAGAAGTTTTTAATGATGGCTATATACAAAGCCAAAATATCTATCATATGCTCAGCTGCTGAGAAAGAGCACTGACCTCTCACCTGATCTATACTACAGTACTCAGGAGAGAGGTGTCTAAACTCTTGCATATTCAAAAGTCTACCAAAGAGACACCTGAGACAGTATTGAGCCTGCTGAAAATACAACAGAGGTACATGTCTAACTGCTGCTGTGCTTGTCCAGAAAACATCTGACACCAGCTCTAGTTATATCTGATCTTGAATGGGTAATAAGACACAGCTCCTCTGCCACATTCCCCAACAAAGAGGCATCCTGGGAGGCAGCCAGCTCCATCCATCCTGCCAAAGCCCAGCTGCACGCAGCAGTGCATCATGCAGTGGTGGTCAGAAGGCAGCCCTGAGATTCTGGTTCATGCTCTCTGGGTTAGGTTTTATTAAAAAAAAAAAAAACCAAACCAAAAAACAATGGTGGTCTAATATTAAAAAATATTAACTGCCCAAAACCTGGAATTTACAGCCTTGGGATAAAAGCTCTTATTAGTAAAGAGACTGAAGACAACACAGACAGCTGTTTTGAGTAGCTGGGGCAAGATGAAATGCATCAGAGTACTTAGATCTTGGCACTTAAACCTGAGGCAGCATCAGACCTTTTGTGTTCACCTCTGAAAACACTTTTATCAGGGGACAGTCCAGACGCTGGAAGAGGCTGTCCAATAAAGCTTACACCTAGAATAAATGTAAGAAGGAACTAAAAACTACAGACCAGCCAGCTTAATCTCAGATCTTGGTGAAAAATCACTATATAAAGCCACTTGTTAACACTTATAAGATAGGCTAAGTAATAGTCTACATGGAGTTTGTAAGAACAAATCATGCCAAAGCAAACTACTCTCTTTCCATAGTGAAAAGTCAAATCCTATGTACAGAGGAGAAACTATTCATCTCAGCAGTGTTTCTGACATCTTTCTGTGGGGTTTGACAGCTTTTCTCTTAGATTTAGTACCATTCAGTATTTTCATCAGTATCATGAATGATGGAATGAAGTATTTACTTCTTACATCTGCAGACTATCAAACTGCCACTGCTTTATAGGGCAAGATAAGATATAAAATATACTAAAATACAAAATTATTTATAGAAATCAAAGAAATGGTTTGAAAAATAGGTTGCAATCTATTAAGACAAATGCAATAATGATGCTAATAAAGATAATAATGCTAAAATAATAAGAGTATAGAAAATAAGTGATGCACAATGCAATTATTCGTTACCCACCAACTGATGCTCAGCCATATCCCTAGTGGTGGCCCTTGGCTGGCTTTCCCCCTGGTTTATATACTGACCATGATATTGCATGGCATCGAATATCCCTTTGGACACTTTCAGCTTCCTGTGGCCCCCAACTTCCTCACTGTCAGGGCAGTGTGAGAAGCTGAAGAGTTCTTGACTGCTGCTCAACAACAACTAAAACATCAGTGTGTTTGCAACAACGTTTTCATCCTAAATCTAAAACACAGCACTGTACCAGCTACTGGGAAGAAAAGTAATTCTATCCCAGCCGAGACTAAGAGGGTGAAGAAGAATGGTCAGAAGTCTATGACTAATGACAATGAGAAAAGACTGAAACAGAAGAAATGAAAGAATGAAGAATGAGAGGATACAACAAAAGAAACTTCCAATATACAGCACTTGTTACTAAAAGCTAAGCAATACATTGCTAAGTAATATATAGAGATATCCCCTGAGACAGAAGGATGAGTGGTGGGCTCAAACTGAGCAAAGAAGCACTATATTGGGATGCAGGGAAAACTTCTTATTGGTAGATGAATTTACACACTGGAACAATTTTCCTTGATGGACTCTATCTGGTGTGGAGTTACAGAATCATAGAATGGCGTGGGTTGGAAGGCACCTTAAATCCCATCCACTGTTTTGGGGTTTTTTTCAATAATTTGGATAAGCATCTGCCCAACAATGGTTTATGCATAGCTAAGCTGACCTACAGCAGAAAGTGCCTGTACGGAGGTCCTACCTGGCCTGTCATTATTCACAACCAGGGAAGCCACTAAGCTGTCAGGACACTCCAGCTTTGCTAATGTGGGTGCAGGCTCCATGCTGGGTATTGACAATTATACAAATCTATGACTTGCAGAGAGGTAAGGTATATGATCAAATACTTACAAGCGATGGACAACTTTTTCTTTCTGCAGAGGACAATACTGTTTCTAGGTCATTTCCAGCCTCTGCTGACTCCTCACAAGTCACAGTTCCCTTTCAAAGAACATAAGGGGAAACTGTCCCCTAATTAATAAGCAAAGCCAGGTTGTTCCTGACTCTCTATTTAGATCAGGTGTGGAAACACGTCAGCTTTGGTTCCATACCTGAAACTTCCATAGATTAAAATCTAACGATATTGGAGATCTTCACTATTTTCAGGTGTGTGAACTAGATACAGAGTTATTTGAATCAACAACTTCCCATGTCTTCTGTTCTGATGGAAGGATTTTTTCCTTCAAAACCCCAGAAATCCGACTCCCTGACACCCTTCTGCTCCTGTCACTTCTCAAGCTCTGTGAGTACATTTTCTCTGTGACTCTTCCTTTTTCTTTTATCATTCTTTTTTCCACTCTTCATTCCTATTGCTTTATAAACCTCTAGAAACCTGTGAGAAAAAACACCATATTTCAT